ATGATGGAGAGTTGTGGGTAGAGAGGGTGTGAAGAGAAAAGGAGAACAAGGGGGAGAAGAACAGAGGGGGAAGGGAGAAGAGAGGGAGAGAGGGAGAGAGGGAGAGAGGGAGAGAGGGAGAGAGAGAGAGAAGAGGGAGAGAGAGAGGGAGAGGGGGAGAGGGGGAGAAAAGGAGAGAGGGAGAGAGGGAGAGAGAGGGAGAAAGAGGAGAGTGTGTGTGTTTGGGGTAGAACTCAGGTACTTATATAAGTTAAATGAGTGAGTGTTGTACTTTTGTGCTATACTGTCAGTTCAGGCTGCTGATTCCTTTAGCATTAGACATCTAATTACTGACTGAACATTTCATAGTGATTTCCTCCAATGATTAGTTCTTTGATTATAATTTTTCATTTAACCTGATAAGCCACTAATATGTGTTATTACCAAAAATGTAGCCAAGAAACATAAAATTATTTCACAAACATATTTTAATGAGAATTTTCAAACCTACAAGGAAATTTAATAGGGCAGTGAATGGTCATCTACCAACCATATGAATTTCATAATTAAGTTTTTCATAAAAGAAACTACTGATAATATAGTGTATATATATTTTCCCCAAAATTCTTCCAAGAAATGACTATGTTACCACAGTTTCACTACTGTACCCAATAGTCAGCAGTGGTTAAATAATGATGTCAAACAGCCAATTCCTGTTCAGAAGCCTCTGAGTTTTCCCAAGTCATTACTATTATTTATTAACTTTTAGTGAAGACTTCATCAAACATAGGAGATCTGAGAATGTGATATTGTTACTCAGCTGATGAGACGTGAGAGTGTAGACTGGCAAAGGAACAATAGTTAAACCATCCACATGTGTAATAATCATTCACTTGGAAACAATTCTTTCCTTACGTTCTGCTAGACCCTTGAGAAACTAAGAAGAAACTGTGCTTGTCTTACTTCCCCATCTTCTCTGCCTTGAAGCTTGGAGGCTATAGGCATCTTCCCAATGGACGTTTAGAGGAGATCCTCTAAGAGAGATGTTTGAGGCTAGAGTATGAGGTATAGTATAAGTACTTGAGTGTGGATGCACAGAACCCAAATAATAGGCGGATGTGATAACACATACCTGTAACACCAAGGTGAAGACAGGAATCCTGAGACTTGCTGGCCAGCAAGTCTAGATGAATCAGTGAATCCCAGGTTCTCTGAGAAACTGTCTCAAACAATAGATGGAGGATAATACCAATGTAGAAGATCATGTCTCAAAAACAAGGTGAATAAATAGCAATTGAGAGTAGGGAATCCTATCTAAAATAAGATAGAACACAGTACAGGAGAACACCAGATAACCAGCCTCTAACCTCCATGTGTGTTCACCTACACTCCTGACACGTACACAAAGAAATGAGGGTTATATAAAGGGGAGAAATACGTGTATCTGTTCTGAGAATGACAGATTTTCCAGGATTGCTTTTTATGCCTTTTATGAGTCTTTCAAATCATCATAGCTATTGTCAACAGTTATGACACAAGTGGGGGCTATCATTTCGCATGCATATGGGATTCCTCCCCTTTCTGACCCACTCCCTCTCCTTCCATCCATTTATTTCTTTTATTTCTTTTTTGAGAAAGCATCTCAGTCTCATGTAGGCTAGGATGACCTTGAACTTGCTATGTAGCCTAGGATAATCTTGAACTTCCAATTCTGCTTCATTTTCTGCATGCCAATATTACAGGCATGTACCACTATGCCTGTGGTTTATGCAGTGTTGGAGATTGAACCCAGAACTTTGCATGATGGACACTCATTCTCTTCTCCAACTGAGCTACATCCCCAGTCCAAATATTCACATGGAGTGATTAATGAAGTTCAAAATTGTCTAGTGGTCATTCAGGCATTCATCTTAGATCTCACCAGTTTAACTAGCTTACCAGAAGAGGAATTTCTGATCAATACTAAACTTTCCTCAAAGAAAAGTAAAATTAGTGTGGGATAAAAATGCAGTTAGATCACTTAGGCAGTGCTCTATGTAACAGGAGATTCTCAGCATATGGACAGGTAATTAAAGAAATATCTTCTTATTCATCTGTTTGGTACAAGTCACAAAGGTTGGTAATATGTCAGGTTGGTCAGCACCCTGGAGAAAAGCATGAGTGTGCAGTTGATACAACCTTTGCAAAAGTGATCTGGCATGTATTATTATTCTGAATATCTGTCATCCTCACAGCTTGTCATCTATTCCTTCAGACTACTCCCATTCTGACTTCTCCTATTTCTGTGTCTGCTTTCTCCTAGATGGTGGAATTTGTGATTCTCACCTCAAACTGGTAGCTTGACCTTGGCTCCTGAGTTCTGTGGTCCCTTCACAACTGCAACTCATTCTGATGCCACATTTCGGTTTACATTGTCTGGTGTACCTTTGTGATCTTTTGAACAATATGCAAGTTCAAGTCACTGCCAAGCTGCCTGATTGTGCATGTACAAAAAATCTTCACCATTTGTGTTACTTGCTTCAGCTCTCTGTGCTTCTGCCTGTTCTGTCTGCAGCCATTGCTCATGCCCCTGTGTTAGCATATAAAAATGGTTTTGCCCTTTTTACCTGTCTTGTTAATTTTATCATTTGGTTATTAAATATTACAAGTTAATATCCTTTACTGCTCAGTGAAAATGAAACTTTCAATCACTGTAAATTTGTCTAAGTCAGGATGACAGTGACCTCCAAGCAAAAACCCCAAAAAGATGGGTGATGGAAATGCATGAAGATTGAGTAGGGCAAGAAAGAAGATGTTAAGAGCAAACTAAATGAGTGTTTCGAACTGTTTGATAATGATAAAGGTAAAAACTCTGGATGGCAAGTCTCCAGTTGTGAAGGAAAGAAAAAGGAGTTCAGTAAGGACCAGTGCAATGAGGGATGGACTGGAATCACTGGAAACATCATATATAACATGAAATGCTGAAATCGAGAAAGTAGAAGTTTATTTGTGTTTGTAACTTCTAAATCAGAGGTTGAACAGGCCTCTTTACATTTGCATAAGCTGTTGATGAATATCCCTGAATTCAAATTTACCTGTGCATCTAGGTAAAATTTTAGACTATTCATTTCAAGGAATGGGTGATCAGATAAGCTTAAGAAACGTTATGGACTGCATGGGGAAAAGTGGCAGGCAGAGAAAGCAGGTCATGAAGTTGTTGCCAAGTACCCTGAAAGTGATGAGATGGGTATAAGTGATGGCAGTTGGCCTGAACAATGGTCCTGTTCTTCTATAAGTGCATGCCAACTTGAATGTTTATTGCAAAGGAGAAGAAAAAGATCAATACCCAAGCTTTGTTCCAGTGTTTCTGGTAATGTTCTGGCTAAACTCTGACCACTTCAAATTCCAAATACTTTCTCTTTTAAAAGAGAATACCAGACACTATTTTATATCTACATGAATGAAAAGTATCAACTAAGGGTAACTGAGAAACTCTTTGTGAATTCTCTGCAGTGCATTTTCTACTGAGGTTAATCAATACTTACATGAAAATGATGCTGACTTGAAAGTATAGCTGATTTGGGAAAATGTCACCAGTGGAAAAATTATGATAGTGAATGCTGCTCCTTGTGTGCAAATCATCTCTATTTCCCCAATAACAGCTCTTTTCCTTCAATCCCCACATTGGGCTTTGGAGTACTCATAATGTTCATGATGTGCTCTGATCAGCTCTGTGAAAGTAGCTCAAAAAATTTTCTTCACTTGTCATAACAATAGTAGGAGAATAAGTGAGAGAAATAAAAATCCTAACCCCGTAGTGGAATCTGGCAGAAATCTCACACTGAGGTTGTTACTGGTTCTGACTGTCTTCTTTCAGTCATACAAGAAATGGACAATGTACCATTGGACAAAACAGTGGGGTCATGGAGGGTTTGAAGAGATGGAGTTAAGTGATGTTGTTGATCTGTTGACTCTCATCCTGAGAATATACTTGAGAAATATTTTACAGGTATGATAACCTCAAATGTTGATTAAAAATAAGCCTCTTCATGTTAGCATCCAAAAACTCAAAGGATATTAAGGTGTGTGCATTCTGCAAATCAAATCATCAGGAAGGAAAAGATCCTTCAGTAGACCTTCAGAGAGGCTTATATGATAGCACACAACCCTATCTCTGACTCTGTATCAACCAAAGTCAATAAATCTGTTTCTCTGTTTCACAGGGGAGAAGGAATGTGGACCATCCACCCAGTCCTTTAAACAGCGCCACACACAGTAGTTGAAACTTGGGATTCATACTCTCCTCTGGTGGCTCTGATGATATGCTTGGTGATTCACGTGCTGGAGGAAGAAAGTAGAGAAGACCAAGAACACTGCAGCAGACTCTGATTTTCTCTGTTCTTTCCTTCCCATTTGTTGTCATGAGCAGCATTTTCATAGGTGCATTGTAATCCTCACCAGGAGGGCAGAGAAAGTTAATTGAAAGTTCATTGCAAAGTAACCACAACTGCTAATGTAAAGTTTGTAAATATCACTGAGATACACTTTGATGTTTTATTTCTGTTAACAAACCAGTTTGCCTTGGACTTTTACACTGCTCTTTTCTGTCTCTTACCCTCTACCACAGAGGTCTTAAATTCCTCTGACTTGCATAGTGTGAGGGTTTCTGGAACACTTTCTAGAACCTAGCAAAATGGGAGGGGTCTGCTAGCAGTGTGTTGTCCTATTCATCCTGAAATTTACTTTAAATTCTAGTTATGTCTAACTTGGTATCTTGCCAGAGGGATTAGTTTGGCATAAGTTCATTTGTTGTGCGGCAGTTTGCAAGATAAATATTGGCTGATCCTGAGAGGCAGTGTATTTATAATGAATTCCTAGATTTGTATTGGTACCTAATCAAGTATAGTATAGTTAATTTCCATAGTTCCTTCCTGATCTCATGTTTGCCCCACCCCTAGTGTTTTGAGACACTGAGCATCCTCCAGAAAAGGAATGCTGGTACTTCCTGTTCTCAGAGGTACTTCAGAATTCGTTTCTAGTTTGAGTGTCTAATTCACCTTCATAATCTCATTATTTACTAAAGTGTTGTTAAGGTGAATTTTGAATGTTTGAAATTTCCTATGCAGATTTAACAAAGGGGAAAATCACAATGCTAGAGGTAAGATCTCAGATATTATTTTGTCATTGGCATATGGTGAGCCCGCCTGGGCTTGTAGCTACTTACACATATTCTCACCTGCTGTCTATTTTGAACTCAGTTGAACAATTTTTCTGGGAACAGACAGGAAGTCTGACTAGCATTGTTTGATTTTCTGCTCTGACTGCTACTGTGCCAACCTAGCATGAGCACTCCATCCTGATTACACATGATAATGATGTGAAAATATCTGAATAGAGGAAGGAAGAAGAAGAAATTTTGGCATGAAGTTGCCAAAAAGAGAACTTAATATAGCCTAAAATGCATAAAAACAACCTGGAATGCAAGAAATAATGTTCAGCAATGAACTAAATGCTGCTTTTGAGCCACAGTGTTAATTAAAGGCCTTGCTCACACAGTTGGGAATGAGATGGCCCATGTTTTCAACACATTCAGAAGAAGCGAATGTGGGTTGAAAGCCCACAGGTGTTCTTAGTATTGACTGTATTTTGGAGTCAGGGAGAGGAGCTCTGAAAATTAGGATTTCTAGTGTAGTAGGGCCAGCACCTATATATTTGGAAAACAACTCGTGGTTCTATCTATGGTCCTAGATGCAAACTGCTGCTTTGAGGTGAAATGAAATTAAGATAGAAAAATGGAAGAAAAATAGCAGTGGGCCCAAGGAATAAGGCAAACATGATCAATTCAATATTTGTTGTGCTACTAGTTCAATGGGCAGTCTTACTCAAGTCACTCCATGCTTTTCATAGCTTCCAAATGAGGGTATACTATATTGGTCTTCAAGGTCCTTCTAAGTCTGTCATCGTCACATTTAGAGAAAAGTGCATCAACCTTATTGGTTGACTTTGTGAGCACCTTGGCCTTTACACAGAGGCCAGGGTAAATACTAGTATTAAATTGTATTCATATTATTTGCAAATTGTGATTGTTTGGACTGTGGATGTAGTTCAGTGATAGTGCCTCTTGGCAAGTAAGAGGCCCGGGTTCACTCCCCAGCATTGTAAAAATGTGCTTGTGATTCAAACTTTATTTATTTTAGACTTCCAGAAAAGAAAGTTAGGTATAGGTGACATAGAATAAAAAGCAAATAAAGTCATTTTTTAAAATGAGAACACACCTTCCATGAGGTGTGTGTGTGTGTGTGTGTGTGTGTGTGTGTGTATGTGTGTGTGTGTGTGTGTGTGTGTGTTATATGTGTACACTTGAATGGGTTTATATACCAGTGTGTGGACATGGAAACCACAGCAAGACACTGGATGCCTTGCTCTATCACCCTCCAGCTTATTCCCTTGAGACAGGGTCTCTTTCTGAACCTGAAACTGTGCTGGCAGCCAGAAAGACCTAGCAACCCTCCTATTTCTACTTCATCTCCCAACTTGGGGTTTACAGTCTAGCTTATTTTGTTAAATGTGGGTTCTGGTGATTCAAGTTCAGATTTTGATGCTTACAGAGCAAGCATTCTTCTCCACTGAACCATCTCCCCAGCCTTGACATTTATTTTAGTTGGTTTTATACAGTTTATGTCATCAAATTGTTTGGGCAAGTACTGGAGCTCAATATAAAGAAGCACACTGATAGAAATTTCCTTCTTGATAAGCATATTTAATCACAGAGAAAAAGAAAAAGGAAGATGGGAGAAAGGGAAGTTTAGCAGGTGAAATAGAATGGATTAGAAAGCTGGCAGGTGATTTTAAAAGATCCTTTTGTTTATGATGTTGAGTTGAAAACATGGGAGAAACCTATTTAATTTGCACATTGAAATCATATGTCTGCCACCATATGAAAGTTAATAAATGGCTTCAGCGGTATCTGTTTTTAACAGTCTGTGAACAGTGCCTTTGACATGAAATATATTGATCACTGAACTTGACATAGGATTCTTACCTTTCAATGGTCTTTGATGTCAGTGTTATAAACAGAAAATATATATTTTGATGGAATATAAAGTTAAACAAAGAGAGAATAGAATATTTCCTTAGCATAAGTTACATATGTGGCAAAATTAAATATAAATCCAGTGTGTCTGAGACAATGGATTTTGCCTTACACTGCTGGTTAGCCCATCATCACAAGTACCCAGAGTTGGTGCTTGACTACTGGGCAGTGATATGATGTGTATTATAATGAGAAATACAAGTGACTTCAAGTGAGGGTTTGGAAATTGACTTTTTGTCTTCTCTGAGTTGGGGATGCTGTGTGCTTAAGTTAGTGGTACTTAGCCCTGGCAAGGTAAGCCTTGCCTTTATGGGGTATGAGAAGTCATCACAGAGACTAGGCCTTAGAATTAGAGAGACCTGTTTCTAATTTTTTTCATGGCAATTACTGGCTGCGTGACTGTGGGCATATTTGGTAACTATTGTAGACTTCATTTTCTAATCTGTAAAATGGGGTGAAAAATACCTATATTATTAGATGGCAAATGAAGATTACACAAGATGCTTAGTACAGTGCCTGGCACATAGTAAGCGCTCAATAAATCATTGCTATTATTATTATTATAATACTATACATATGTCTTGTGTATTAGAACATCATAATTTATACTTGGCAAAATTTTAATATTGATTTCCTTCAAAATATGGTATACATGATGATTTTAAAAGAAAGGATAAGAAAAGAATTTTGATATTTTTCCTTGTTTGCTGATAAGGAACATCTGAAATTGTTCCATTGTTCCTTTTATACTGCAGTAATTCTTTTATACTGTGTTTATAATGTGATAACTGTTGCATGATGTTGATTTACCTGGTGATTACAGGTGATGACTTTTTGACATAAATGTATTCCTGTACTCTTGAAAATCCATCTACTTAGTTCTACCTTTAAAGATAATTAAGACACTCTGATAGGGAGTGATGATAAATCTGTATTGAATGCCTTCTTGACCACTGAATTTTTAGCTTAGTTTCCTTTCAAATAAATGTGCAAGGCAAAGTATTCTTACTAGGCATAGGGCTTCTTCACAACTAACTTCTGAACCTTTTGATATTTCATACATTTATCATGGCATTCAGGAATTTTTAAGGACTAGTATTCAGAAAGTAGGGTATTCATCAAGACTTCAGTACTGTGATTTTTTAAAGCTACACATCTTTCCTTGCTTCAATTCAATTTAAGACAACTGTTTACTAGTATCACTTTAGTGGCCTTCCATCACAACCTTTTTCTTCCCACTTGGAGTATTTGGTATACAAGCATTATATGTGTACCTACTAGTATTTGCTACTTAGCACTGCTCGGCATGACTATCATCATATTTGGTTCTGATCCACATATTGCCTTGTAAGAAGACCCACAATGAATACCCATTGTCTCTTGAGAGCCGTTTGATTTTTAAGTCATGGGCCATTACCAGTGCACCTTACTAATTTTGACTTGAGTTCTTTGTATGCAATACATGTGCCAATTCTTGTCCTTCTAAGTCTTATATAAGTAATAAGAGACTTGAAGCTATACCTTACCTCTCATCTCCTATGGCTGTTACTTAAGTTCTAATGAGTGAAATCAGAACTTTACATATATTTTTTTTATTCATGAGATGACCCACCAAATTATAATCTTTATTTTCCCTGTCTCCAGGTGTGCTCAGTCTACAGGGGTGGATTCCCCCCACCCGTGTGTGTGTGTGTGTGTGTGTGTGTGTGTGTGTGTGTGTAAGTAATCCTCTAGCTTCTGTCCATCATCTTCCTTGACTAGGACTTTGGGTCCAGGCCATTTAATTTTGGCTCTGAATATAAGGGCACCTAAATAATTGCCAGCCTCAACTTCTGATTTTCACCATGTTACACAGTATCTTCTGTGCCACTAGGCTTCAAAATGTTGCATCTGTACTTTCTGTACTTTTGCATGTGAATGCAAACCGTGGATGCACTTAAGTTCATTGTGCTCTAGATTTGATATCTAGAGTTGAGCTTGGCAAACTACAGCCTTTGGGCCAAATCCACCCACCCAGACTTTTTTTTTTTTTTTTTTT